AACTTAGTTATGAGTGGAGATCATTGGTCATTCAACTTTAAATGACATTAACAACAGGTCTATTGATTCTTCGGCAAACGGAATATTTGATTCATCCGAAGACTTTTTCACAACTCCTTTTGAAAGGCCCGTCCTTATGGATCTCGGACAACTTTTCATTGCTCAAAATACTCCGAGAGAAGTTTGGGTGAGGCAGCTATGCTGGGATAAGCGACCAGTATTCTGTCAGTAGACCTCATTGACAAAAAGCTGTGGCAGTGTTTCTGTGCAAAATTGGCTGCAATTCAAATGAAAGAGATGCAATAGAATTTAGCCAATAGCAGCTTATTAGTATTGCAAATATTTTCCAGCATTTTACATATTTTCCCAGGTAAATTCAAAAGGTAGTGATTCCACAAGAGAAGGAAGCTAGAAATTTTTCTTAGTTATTGCCACCCATTATTAAATCCAGAAACATAATAATTTGGTTGGTTTAGCAAGACAAGTGAAAGGTAACGTTCTGGAGTACTAAACCTTACGTTTTAAAAGATCAGGGCGCCTGAGTGTAGCAATGGCTTTATATTCAGCGGTGAGTAGCTCCAAATTTAGCGTCGATGTATCTTAGTCCGGTAAGTATACATTGCCCCAGGGTGATAGGAACCTATGTATGTAAACTCTGCCTAATCCATAACTCATAATCCAAGGTTGGTCCGAATACAATCCAAGCCACTCAGCATGATAGTTCGTACCGTTAAGCACTCCTAACTAAGGTTTTATTGCATTAAAATTCAAAAATATCTTTCAGAATGAATATTTTGACCGAAAATCGATCGACAGTAGAACATATATATATATAAATATTATATATTACAACAACAAAAAAACTAAAAGCTTATTTTGAAAAAAAAAAATGTATAACATGAAATTAAAATAATACCGATAGCGGTTTGATGTTAGCTACAAAACCAGTACACATATACATGTATACATATGTACATAAAAATACTTACAGTTAATTACTAATACACACATATTATATAATAAACTTATCAAGCATGACGGCTTAAATTCATTTAATATTTGAGTCATTTAAAGAAAGCTAACACCAATTAAAAATATATGTATATCAACAACACATGGGTTTATACATAAATATGGAAATAAATTACTGAGCAAAATTATTTAAGCAATTAACAAATTAATATTATTATTATTCAAAGATTTTATGTATTAAAGAAAATATTATTAATTATTGAAGATAATAAAAATAAATAAATATATGTAATACTGCATATTTCTGGTATTTAAATATGTTTACACATTTTTAACTCTAAACTATGTATGTATGTATATTGTTTGGATTTCATATTTATTTATTTCTACACTATTTTTATTTCATTTCATTCTGGATTATTTTATTTTACTTTATTTTATTTTATTTTAATTTAATTTTGTTTGATTTCATTTATTTTTTTTATTATTAATTTTTAAGTTTAATTCTATTTATTTTTATTTAATTTAATTTTAATTTATTTATTGATATTTTATTTTATATTGCTTTATTTAACTTATTTTTTATTTTCGTTTTAGTTAATATTTTTTTGGCATTATTTTCTTTGCCTTGTATTTGATATTATTTCATTTTAATATTTTATTTTATTATTTTTTTTTAATTTCTTTAACTTTTTGTTTTATTTTATTTCATTTATTTTATTTTACTATGTGTTTATTTCTTTGTACTTACATAATTTTATTTAGTTAAATTTTATTTGATTTTATAACTTTTTTAATTTTTTTAATTTATTTAATATGTTTTGATTTATTTTACTTTATTTACTCTAATGTTTTATTTAATTTTATCTCATTTTATTTTGTTTATAGTATTTATTTAATTCCTCTAATTAATTACTTTATTATATTTTGTGTTAAATAATTCTATTTTATTTATCTTATTATACTATTTTTTTTTATTATATTTTAATTTATTTTATTTTGTGTTACTATATTTTATTTTATTTAAAATAAAAGATAGGTCGCTAAAACCATTGATTTATTTTCTTTTAATTTATTTTAAGTTATTTTATTTTATTTTGCTTTATTTTATTTTGCCTTATTTTATTCTGCTTTATTTTTATATTATTTTATTTTATATTTTTTCTTCTTAATTTTTTTAAGTTATTTTATTTTATGTTACTATATTTTATTACACTTTCTTTTATTTTGCTTCATTATTTCTGTTTTTTTGTAATTTATTTTATTTTCTTTTCATTTTATTTTAAGTCATTTTATTTTAATACAGTTTCTTTTCTTATATTTTATTTAACTTTATTTTATTCTGTTTTATTTTGTTTATTTTTATTTTATTTTGAATTATATTTTTTTCTTTTTCATTTTTTATTTTATTTTCATTTTATTTTAAGTTATTTTATTTTGCTTTATGATTTCTGTTTTGTTTTATTTTATTTTTTTAGTTTTTTTTTTTGTTATTTTATTTTATTTTTTTTTTCATTGTATTTTAATTAATTTGATTTTATTACGTTTTCTTTTATTTTATTTTATTTTGCTTTATTTTATTCTGTTTTATTTTATTTAATTTTATTTTAAATTATATTTTATTTTTCATTTTATTTTATTTCTTTTATTTTAATTTAATATAATTTTTTTATTCCGTTTAATTTTATTTTACTTTAACTCGTTTCATTTTTTTATTTATTTCATTTTTTTTTAAATTTTATTTCATTTAATTTAAGTTACAAAATGAAACTTAATATTTATTTTGTGTACACTTTGTTTAAAATGTTTTTTTTTTTTAATTAATTTAATTGTTTTTATTTTGGTTTGATCTATTTCTTTTAGTTATTTAATTTTATTTTATTGTTTTTAATTTGTATTTGCTTTATATTATTCGATTTTATTTATTTTTATTAATTTTATTTACTTTTTTCAATTTAATTTAATTTCATTTTATTTTAATTTTTTTAATTTTTGTTATTTTGTTAAATTTTTTTTCTTTTTTATTGCGTTTTTTATCTCATTTTATTTCATATATTTTTATAATAATTCATTTTATTTGTTTTATTTTTTTTAATAAATTTTTGGTTTTTTTGTTGGTCAATTTATTTTTTTGCTTTTCTTTTGCCATTTAAATTTTTGGTATAAAAACGGTGTTTGTTTTTGTTGTCATTATTGTTTGAAATTGCACTTTTGCTACTGTTGCTTCATTTTTATATACTTGTATTAATTTTGCGTATTACTAATTATGTGCGTTTTGTAGTGAATCAACCAATTATTAATCTCTTTTTTGTTCTATTCGTTTCTTTACTCTTTGTAGTACTTTTTTAAATTACATTTACTACTATGCAACCGACCGTAGTTCGTGTTCCAGTGACCACTATTTCTATACTTTGCAGTTAGTTCGATGGTTGGGTTCTTTTGCAAGCGACCCTCACGAGAACGTTGGATCGTTTATTTGGATCTATGGAACACAAGAACAAAAATTAGCTGGTTGTGCTGATGAAAGCGATTTCTTTATTTCAAATGAAACTACGAAAGCGAAGGATCAGCAGACCCCTCAGAAGTTTTAACATGCCCCTGCTTGATAGGACGACATGCAGCGCGGCTGGGAGCTCCCTCCAGGTGCAAACAATCATATACAGAAAATTTTAAAGGAATCGTTGCAGATGGATAGGCAGTTTGGTGATCGTGATATCACAACCCTGCCCTAAATGTATTGATACTCCTACATCGACAGCCAGTCCAACCCAATCTACGTACTTTATAAGAAAAACGTATTTTGACCTTTATTATGTGTTTCGAGAAATGTTTGGGCTTCCTAATGATTATTTATTTGTTACCGAACGAGATTTTTTTGTCAAATACGTTCCATGAACAAAAGTCTTCTGCAATCCCATGAACTCTGGAGAAATATCAGCAACCACAATAATTTTGACCACTATTTCATGGTCACAGAGTTAAAGTCATCACTTCCGGTGGAACGTGTGTTGGGCTACAATCCAATTGGTACTCTTGTGTTAAGCCTCAAATCATACTAGAGCCAAACAATCGTGCTTGTACGTGGAACGACCAGACCCTATTTTGATAGCCCACTGCTCACAGTCTCAACAAACGGAATCTGATACCGGGTAACACCCACACATATATTTGGAATTTAGAGTCAAAGGGAAGGATAAATACGTTACAAAATGTTAATGTTCCCCCTCCCTAGAGATATTGATAAACAACCTAACCTAGATGGGTTTCTATTTTTCGAACTGTACTTCCAAACTAACTAGTCATTGAGACCCATAATGATGTCCACAGCTTTGGTTCAGCCGTTGTCTAGGAAATATTATAAGCTTTGGATTTATGTTAGAGAAGACGCGCGACAGATTATTCCTGCAAGGTCGTTTAGTACCAAACGACCAAGAGATGGTAACTGTATTGTCTTTTCACACGGATCTTTTCGAAAGCGAAGATTCGCCGCATGGTGAATAAATATTCAATGGGGGAATCGCCAGATATTTGGTATATAACCATACTGGGTAGAAGCAATTAGTTCTGGCTGGGTTTGAATAAGCCCTAGCACAAGGTGCAAAATTTTTAAAATTAATCCACTAAGACTGTTCTCGACGTCAGTAAACTAAAAAAAAAACCAATAGATTTGAGGTCACTTGCGCAAACAAGAACAACGGTCACTGGAGCTTAACATAGCTAGAGTTGTTGCATTTGTCTCATCATCTCACGCTTCAAACACTTTAAAAACATTCTTCCATTACATACATACATATTTATGCCTAAGATTTGCTGCCATTAATTGCATTTAGTCTGGAAGCTTTTCATTTCTAATGGAATATGACACATTCATCAGGCCGACAGTACCTAACGCCATTGCTTCATATATATATATATATATATATATATATATATGTATGTAGATACATACATATGTCTTAAAAATAAGTTTACATATATATAAATTGTACATAAACATGCCTTAATACTTTTATAAATATTCACTTGATGCTATGACTAATATTTCTAAATACATACATACATATATATGTATATATCTCTCGTTGCAGTTGTTTTTGCATGCGAGTGTATGCATGCAATCTCAATAAAAAGATTTCCACCATCCGTACATACATACACGTATGTACATACAATACATATAGAATTGCTTGAGCTCCAGCAATCCCTCTACCAGCCACCTGAATAACCTTTGAACTAAACTCAACTGGAATTATTTACCTTAAACTAATCACTCTTCATGGCCACATTGCAGTTTACCGTGTGCTCAGCTGTACCGATGACATTTCGACGCGTTGACACTGACGGCGCTCCACAATGACCGCCGCCGTTGGCGCCGACTAATCGGCCGCGGGTCATACATTCATTGCGTAATAGACGGAGCCTTGAGCGGTAGCGGCGGCGGCGGCGGCAGCGGCAGCGGCAGTTTGCTGCGGTCCGGCATTCGGTGGTGCTGGTTGTTGCTGTTGCTGTTGCTGTTGTTGCATTTGTTGTTGTTGTTGCTGCTGTTGCAGTTGTTGTTGTTGCTGTAATTGTTGTTGCATTTGTTGTTGCACAGTGGTAGCCTGACTAGCGGTTGGCGACACCATGCTGTGGCAATGAGTGTGCGTAACCGCAGCCGCACCCTCCGGCACACCACGCTCACTAAAACCCGGTATATTACCCTCCTGTGCGAACTGATAGCGCTGAGCCATGATGCGCGGATGCGGCGGATGGGGATGCTGATGTGGATGGGACGCAGCAGCCTCAACACCGACAGCTTGCTGAACGTGCTGTGCTGCATAATGTGCGGCATGTCCACGTCCAGCCATTACGTGTAGCTGCATACCGGGCAGCGCATAGCCGATGGGGACACGTATGGTCTGCTGTGTCACCTGTAAAATGTAAATTGGAATTAATTTAGCTTCTAATATAATATCTAGTGTGTTAGCGGCACACACACACACACACCTGTTGGTACTCCAATATATTTTGACGTTGTATATGCGCCACTTTCGGATCCATATTGGTGGCGGCGGCGGCAGCAGCGAACTGTGAGTAGGTCTGTGCATTGTACGGTATCAATACCATTGTTTGGTGGTAATTACGCAACGGTGGCGGTGATTCGGGTCGTCTGGTCGGACTGCGTGCATAATGACCGTAGTGTTGTTGCTCAATTGCGGTGACACTTTGACAATTTTGCGCAGCATACATCATCGCCGTTTCGTCCTGGGCTTGTTGTTGTTGCTGCATAATCGTTTGCCGGAACATTGCGCCACCTGGTAGCGTTTGATAGTAGGCCTGCTGCATGCCGGCTCCTTCGATGGGTAGGCGTTGCTGTTGTTGTTGTTGTTGTTGATCGGCAACTCCTCCTTCAGTGTAGAAACTCCAGGTGCGTTGTTCGGTTTGCTGTTGAGCGATTGTATTGGATTGCACTTGTACTGCCTGTTGGCCGGGCTGTTGCTGCTGCTGCTGCTGCTGCAGTTGTTGTTGCTGCGGTTGACCGACCATTACCTGAGATGGTGGTTGTGGCTGCTGTGCTTGTTGTTGCTGATGTTGATTTTGCTGCTGCTGTTGTTGTTGTACAACATTAACAGGATGTGGCACATTTTGTGGGGATGGATTTTGTGAGATCTGTTTGGTCATGGAACTCGTAGAGGCTTGTTTGGGCAGAGTATAGCTCTTGATGGCCTGGTTAATGGGCTAAATGGAGAAGGAGGAAAATGTGTTAATATCTTATATATAAAAGTCAGTCTGTGATAAATTTGATTGCGTCTTGTATTTTACTTTATTTTTACTTTTATTTCGTTTATTTAATTCAATTTTTTATTTTACTTTATCTTCATTATATTTTACTTTGAAATAAAAATTAATTGAAATTTAATAAAAAAAATTGGAAAAGACTCGTGAAGAGAGGATCGACACACACCGCCTTTTCGTCCATTTTAAAGCCGCCTTCGACAGCACGAAAAGGAGCTCTCTACGTCGCTATGTCTGAATTTGGTATCCCCGCAAAACTTATACGGCTGGGTAAAATTGAAAAGGACCTCTCCGAGCCGTTCGATACCAAACGAGGTTTCAGACAAGGTGACTCCATGTCGTGTGATTTCTTCAATTTGATGCTGGAGAGAATATTATGAGCTGCAGAGCTGAATAGATAAAGTACAACCTTCTATAAGAGTGCACAATTACTGGCGTACGCCGATGATATTGACATAATCGGCCTCAACAACCGCGCCGTTAGTTCTGCTTTCTCCACGCTTGATAAAGAAGCGAGGCGGATGGGCCTGGTAGTGAACGAGGACAAGACGAAATATTTCCAGTCATCAAGCATTCGCGACTTGGCTCCCACGTCACTGTTGACAGTCATAATTTTGAAGTCGTAGATAACAACAATAATGTCAGTCTTGAAATCCAACGCAGAATCACTCTTGCCAACAGGTGCCACTTCGTACTGAGTAGGCAATTGAAAAGAAAGTCCTTTCCCGACGAACGAAAACCAAACTCTGCAAGTCTCTCACCGTGGTGCGGAAGCATGGACGATGACAATATCTGATCAGTTGGCGCCAGGAGTTTTCGAGAGAAAGATTTTGCGTAAGATTTATGGTCTTTTGCGCATTGGCAATGGCGAATACCGCAGACGATGGAACGATGAGCTGTACGAGTTCTACGGCGACATTGATATAGTTCAGCGAATCAAGAAGCAGCGGCTACGCTGGCTAGGTCATGTGGTCCGGAAGGATGCGAACACTCCAGCTTTGAAAGTTTTCGATGCAGTACCCGCCGGTGGAAGCAGAGGAAGAGGAGGACCTGCACTCCGTTGGAAAGACCAGGTGGAGAAGGATCTTGCTGTACGTGGTATTTCCAACTGTTAAATCGGCCAAAATCGCGTAAGCGGTGTAAAGTAAGTAAGTAAGTATATCATTTAATTTTAATTAATTTTATTGTATTGCACTTTATTTTATTTTTTTTTATTCTATTTTTCTTGGTTTTATTTCATTTTATTTTATTTTGTTTTATTTTATTTCATTTTACTTTATTTTATTACATGTTATTTTATTTTATTTCTTTATTCTTTTTTTATTTGAATTCATTTTGTTTTATTTTATTTTTTTCATTTTGTTTATTTTAATTTAGTTTATTTAATATTATTTAATTTTATTGTATTATAACTTATTTTATTTTGTCTTAACTAATTTTTTTATAATTGCGTTTATTTTATTTATATTAGTTTATTTCATTTTGTATCATTTTGATAATATTATTAATTTTATTTTATTTTATTTAGTTTATTTAATTTTTATTCATTTTCTTAACGTTATTAATATAATTTTATTTAAATTAGTTTGATATTTTTAATTTTATTTTAACTTATTTCAGTTTAATTATCAGGTGTACAACTTTGCTTCCGCCGTTTTCCGATAGGTGGCTGTACCGACTGAGGCCGGTTGAAATACATAGATGATAATGCCTTTAAAGTTAGTGTGGACAGTGTCAAACGAAATGTCATCGCCGTTTCAGTGACAGTTGTTCTTGTTTTCGTATTATTCACGCTCGAAAATGTCCGTTTATAAGCCTAATTCTAATTCTCGCCATTTGCGGGAAGTTTCACTTTTCTGTTACAATTCCAAAAAAAATGCAGCTGAAGCGCATCGAATGCTCTCAGAAACTTACGGTGATGCTGTTCTGAGTGAAAGAACTTGTCGGGAGAGGTTACAACGTTTTAAAAATATTGATTTCGATGTAGAAGACAAAAAACGTGGTGGTGGAAGAGAAAAAATCTTCAAAGATTTACTACGAGCTCTTAAAACCGGGTGAAACCATCACAGGATATCGCTACCCGCGTGCAACTGAGTCGCGCACTAAAAGAAAAGCGGCCACAATATCAAGAGCGACATGACAAAGTCATCCTCCAATACGACAATGCTCGGCCTCACGTCGCAAAAGTGTTCAAAAAGTACCTGGAACCCCTGAAATGGGAAGTCTTGCCCCACCGCCGTGTTCCCCAGATGTCGCCCCTTCTGACTTCCACCTATTCCGTTCGATGGCACACGGCTTGGCAGATCAACATTTTCAATCCTTCGAAGAATTGGAAAAGTGGATTGCTTCATGGATAGCGTCAGAAGAGGACTCATTTTTTCGAGCCGAGATCCAAAAATTGCCGGAAAGATGGGAGAAAGTTGTCGCTAGCGAAGGACAATACTTTGAATAATATTTTCTGTAAGCACTTTTTCGCAATAAAGCTTTTAATTTTGGAAGAAAAAACGGCGGAAGCAAAGTTGTACAGCTGATATATCTTTTATATGATTTCATATTTTTTTTGCTTAATTTTACTTTATTTAACTTACTTAATTTTATTTGAGTATATTTCTTTTCATTTTTTTTTTGTATTTTTATTTTATTTTATTTTCTTAAATTTTTCGTTTTATTTTATTTTTCTTATCTAGTTTAATGTATTTCAATTTATATTTTTTTAAATTTTATTTTATTTTAAAATAAGGTTTTTATTTTGATTTTATTGAAGGCTCAGAAGCCCGTCCACTGCGAGGTTGATCTTCGAGGTTAAAATCTCCAGAACGAAATTTCGCGAAATAAACTTTCGTCCAAATAAACTTCGCGAATATCTTTAGTTGCAGCGCCTACTGTTTTTCCTTTGCGGAATTCGTATAACATAATATGACGGATATGATCTTTTTCGTTGTCCATCTTCCATGCGTCTTTTCAGCAAACAACTCAAATCAAAATGAAGTTATTTTATGCTTGATTTACAGTTCAGACTGTCACCTTTCCAACGATAAATAATATGTATGTATATATTTCTTTCACGAGCGCCACTCTCAAACGATTCGAACGGCATCCAGCGGAATCGGGCAAGAACTTATGCACTCATCCAATATTACATTTTATGTTGTTTAATATTAGTCTATTTTAAATTTGATTTTATTTTTTTTTTTTTTCAAAACTTAGGTTAGTTTTTTAATTTCTTCAATTTAATTTTTAATTAGTGTATTTAACATTTACTTTATTTTTGAATCATTGTTGTTTTTTAATTTTTCACTTTAATTTTATTTATCATATTTTAATTATCTTATTTCGTTTCACGTATTTTTTTTTTGTTAAATTTTATTTGTTTTTTATTTATTTTATTTATTCTTATATTTAATTTTAATAAGTTTATAATATTTATTATAGTTTTTCCACTTGTTTCATTTACTTTTATTTTACAAAATTTCGTTACATTTTTTTGTATTAATTTACTCTCTTGTAATTTCATTACCTAATATTTTCATTTCTTTTAATTTTGACATTTAATTTATTTTAATATTTTATTTGGCTTTATTCTATTTGGATTTTATTAAATTTCCTGTACGTACTTTAAAGTTATAATATTTTGTTTCTTAAATGTATTTTGTTACGCGCCCCTTTACCTCACTCACCTGTCCCACGGCCACACTGGGCATCTGCTGGTTCAATTGCTCCTGCATTTGCTGTAAAATCTCATTGGTCGAACTGAATTTCGGTTTGATACCGCGCACCGATGGGCGCTTATTAAAGCCATAGTCATTTTGCTCATCATCATCAGAGCTATTGTTGGAGTTCTCGTTGGTGTAGCGCTTCTTAATCTTTTCGGTGCGATTTGCCTCCTGCTGTGCAAATGCAGCCAACTCATCTTGCTGCTCTTGACCGGGTGTGCCGGCGATGACATCGGGTGCCACTTTGCGCACCTCATCAGCACCAGCACCCACACCACCACCGCCGACACCGCCACCAGCTTGTATCACACCGGGCTGTTCACATAAATTAGCCCCGCCCAAATTGAACTCAGCGAATTGTGCATTATTAGCCACATGACCGCTATGATGGGCAGCAGCTAGGGTGTAATAGGAGGATAAGTCATCTTTGTTGCCGGCCACGCAAGCGGTCAACGGCGCCAGGGTGGAGAGGAATTGACGTTTCGGCTCCACTTGACGTGGTGGTGTGCGATGGATTTGGGTATGTACGACGGGCACTTGTATGCCCATGCCGAGATCGGGTGCGGCTGGGCAGCGGCATTCCTGAAAGTGAAGATTCTTGATGCACATTTAAGCAAAGAGTGATGTATATAACGATAGTTACCTGAGGTATTATGACTATTGGATTCTCTTCCATTTCCAGTATTTTATCTTGCTTTTTGTCACGATTAAATATATCGGAGATCTTCTTGTAAGCCGATGAACCGCTCGACGAGCTCGAAACAGATGAACTGGGCGAGAAACTCTTATCGCTATTGCCATTAGCAAACTTCTGCGGATTCTCCTCGCCCATTGGACTGCCACGATGGGTCAATTCACAATTGGCCTCCGCAGCTAATTTTGAACTCTCCTCATCGCCATTCTCAGCGGCGCTGTCTTCATTTGTCTCATCAATGTCACAAGTCAGCTGCTTGATACGTTCTTCCAACGATATATCGGACTTGACAGCTTTTTTCCTAGTGTGCGCGTAAGTGAATATAGATTATATTAGATATTGAAAATGCGACTCGGTTATATAACTAATCATCCATCAACTTACTTGATCAACGATCTACGCAATATATTCCGTTCAATGCTGCGTCTTATGGTATCCGTATCACCACAACCGGGTAGATTTGGCACCAAACAACCAGCACGCTTTGACTCGTCAAATGCTCGTAATGCTTCCGAGGTCAGCACCGGTGTTTGGTGAGCGACGCTTGGGAACAACTGGCGTACGGCGGAATTGGGACGTAATGCGTTATTGAATAATGTGGAATGTTTCTTGATTGGGATGAGTTCGTTTATTTGATTCTCCCCTTCGGCAGCGTCGCCAGTTGTCTGACCCTCGCCATCAACGGCCAAATCTTCAGTGACAAAGCGAACCGAACGTTTTGTTGTGCCGCCCTCGTCTTCCGATGTTGTATTATTTTGATCGTCGGACTGCGGCATAAAAAAAGAGGGGGGGGGGAAATTATTTTAAAAAATCTGGCAGAAGATATGATTGAGCTTTATTCCTCATTTCTTGGATATTAATCTATCTTGTGAACCACTGATTGCAACCAATTTGATGACGGTTTCAATATGGTTTCACTTCTTTGAAATTGGGATCTCTTCAGGCAAAAATTTATCTTGGATGAGATTAAATGGACGATTAACTTATTTTTAGTGTCACAGAACGGTCTTTCGACAACAACTGCGAATCGCTACTGAAGCGTAACAAAATTGACCCTGCGGATTGTGACTTGACACTTACAGCAACGTCAAGCGAAAACAGTCTACAAAATACCAGAATTGACGGTCAGGTGGGTTTTGTTGTTTGTTTGGTGGGATTGGCAAGGAATCATTCACTAAGAGCTGCTCCCCTACGGCCAATCTTTTAATTCCGTCCTGCACTATCAGCAATTGGACCGGCTGAATTAGGCAATCGCCCAGTAGAGTCCAGCTTTGACCAACCGCAGGGGAATTGTATTTCCTAAGGACAACAACACATCTTCTCGTGACTCACCAGAAGCTCAGAGAGCTTGGTTGGGTGGTTCTAATGCAACTATTAGTTAAGTTCGGACCTTGCATCTGTTTTGGTCTATGGTGAATGATTTGGTTGGTGTAGATCTAACCTCAAGAGAAGCCTGTGAAAATCGATTGACCCAATTTTTTGTCAATAGGGACGAAGGCTTCTATGAGAATAATAATTTTGACTAAGCTAAATAAAGATTTTAATTTTAATTTTTTTTTAAATATTTTTTAATAAGTTTTTAAACTAGACCCGATTCACTGTTAAGATACACAGATATGCGTATATTTCGGATGTATTTTTGTATTTGAATGTCAACATCAACTTACCTGCGACATTGAGTCCTGCTTCCACAATTTGCCACCCTTCAAAATGCCGCTGATTTGTGTTGGTGACGACTCCTTTGGCGGTATGGGTGGTGGTTTCTCCTCATCGTAATCCTCAACACTGCTAACACCACCACCGCCAGTGGTTTGTTGCTGCTGCTGCTGCTGTTGTTGTTGTTGTTGTTGTTGTGGTGTAGCGGCATTGACACCCACAATGGCGGCGCCTGGCTTAGCCGGCAACGTTGGTGGCGGCAACATATCAGCACCGGTTACCGTTACATCCTCGCTGGCCTCGCGCACAATCCGGCGTTCCGTTACTGTGGTCATAGTGGTAATAGTTTCAACAACAAAACGTTTATTCTTCTTGGCATTCAAACGATTATCCTTTCTATCTTTGACTTTATTGCATAATAATAATAGTTATGGTACATACATACATACATACGTGTGCGTACAAGTCAGGTCAAGTTGAGGGTTATGTTACGGGTATGTATGTATGTTTTACACGTTAACGATTATTACAACATAATTACGAGTACATACAGCACAATTACAATTACAATGTTACATACGAGAGTTGTTTTTGTAATTTTTTTTTGTTTTTAATTTAAGGTTGTTAGTATTTGTTGTTAGTGTTAGTAAAATATTAATAATATTATTAAACAGTTTTTTAACGTAAATTGATTAGCAATCATTTCATTGTTGTTGTTTTTTAATATTTTTTTTATTAATTAAATTTTTTTTTTTTTTTTTTTGTAGTTAGAAGCAATTATGCATTTAGGTGAAGACGCAGCAAACATATGTATACAAACATACATATGTATTTATATTTGTGCACGTAAAGAAGTCGCCCATATGATTTGGTTTGTTCAGTTGGGTTTTTTTTGGTATTTTTGGCAGTAGTTCGCACCCCCACACAAATGTGATTTTGGCAGCATAATGAAAATATTACATACATACAAACATTACGAGTATCTATATTAGCGCTACAATGTACAATATATACAAAATATATATATATATATGTACATAACTATATATGTATTTATGGAATGAGCACGTTGGATGTACAACATATAGCTACATATGTACTGTACGAGGATGTACGAGGAGCGGCGGATAAGTTCGCATGCTAAGGCAGTTAGAGATGACACGTCAACTCGTTACTGTTAACACTAATTCCACCACTCATTGTTAGTATAAAAAAAATCAACTTTTTTTGTTATGTTCTTTAACATTCCATTCCTGGAACAAGCTACAAGACTATGAGTATGTCAATGAAAACTGGAAATTCTCGCTAATGAGGCACCGCACGGTGATTAAATTCCTGGTAAAAAAGGAGAGAAATTTAAAAAAAAAATGTCACTGGTTCTTCAGGTCTGTGCCGCTTCAAATACATAGATGGTGAAAAAATGCTCTCTGCTGTTTCAACAAGGAAGAGGGACCTGTGAAGACAACCAGTGACGGTAGTGACCGCATAAAATGTTCAGAAAGTCGAAAAATCGGTACTGGCTGATCGAAGAATTGAGTTGTGGCAGATAGCAGAAGGATCGCGAAGAAAGAGCTGAAGTGGATTTCCATAAACATTTTGAATATGAAAAATATATGAGTATGCGTTTGGACCACGAATGATCACGCCGCTTGACAAGCAGCGACGATTGGAGAGTTGTAAAGATTTTTTGGAGTTTTTCCAAGATGATTTGGATGAAATTTGCAACCACATTGCAACAGTTAATGAAACTTATATCTGTATAATACTGAGTTCCAACAGGAGTCAATATAGTGGATAAAATAAAACCGGGAAGGTCACCAAAAGAACTCAAAATAGAAAAGTCGACGTCGAAGCTTATGGCTATCATTACCGGGGCTAGTGAGGGAATATAATTAATAGATTACTTGTAAAAGGAGCTACAATGAACGGCCAGTATTACGCTGATCTGTTGACTCAGGCGCGTGAGGTTGTCATACTGAAGTAAGTCAGTGCGCTGAGTGCTCTTTCTTTAAGACAAAGCAACCCTTCACACTGCGCGGATTGCGAGTGATGCCTTGAAAGCAACCGGATTTTCACTCTACAGTCCAGACCTGACTGACTCTTTCGTATTTTTTAAAAAATGAGTTACTCGGACGAAAATTTTCAGACGACAGTGTGCCGAAAGCGGCCGCAGAAAGCCACTTTGAAGAGAAATCTAAAGAATATAGCAGTGGCATAAAGGCATCGTATTCCCGATTGTCCTTCACTTGAGGGAGACTATATTAAAAAATAAAAAAAAAACATAAAACCGTTAATTTGTTTCACCAAGTACTCTAGGACGCAAACTTATCAGCCGCCTCTCGTATGTATGTATGTATGGTTAGCTCATGCTATAAAATGCCTTATGTGCAGTATCAGGAATGCGTAAAGCGAAATTGAAAATGCAACTCTGTTATGAATGCTTCATTTATGGTTGATATACATACATAGTTAGGCATGTTTGTTGTTGGTCGATAGGGATGCTAGTGCGTTTATTTACAATAAAATGGGCGGCGAAAAAAGCGAAAAAGCAAAGCGTAAATTAAACATTCTGCAGTAGCGCAATTTTCATAGCAAAATTCCTTCTCATCTCCTTTCTGTATCCCTTTCCATGAATTGGTCAAATCAAAATATGTTGGGAAATGATTTGCATAATTTACAATGAATTCTGAGTTATAATTTGAATAAAATGAATAATATTATTTTTTGCAGTATATGTATATGTATGTATATATGTACATATGTACATACTTATGTATGTAAAAAGTGTGTGTAAAAAGCAAAGGAAAATAAATGCAAAAGAGTCACAAAGTGAAAAATTAAAAAATAACTGTGAAATTGTTTTTGCTATATCCACAGCTTCCATATACTGAATTAGTTGGCGAGTGCTCTCGGAGCGCAGTCGAGTAGAAAATTGCAAAAAAAAAGAATTGTTAAAGGTGTTTTACGTTAGACAGGTGGTTTTCAACAAGACAGAGTTGGCCTTCGTGCCAGTTGTTACTTGATTTAGTTTACCAGTTCTCATCGAACAGACTTAAGAAGCTCAACCAGTGTGAAATTTTCCAAAAATCTATTTTCTTTTTGAGATTCTTCGATAGCTTATATTGTACTTCGCCCACACTTTTGTAGTAATCCTCACAAGCTGCGTGTGATCAATCAGTTATGTAAGTTTACAAGTAAGTTTTTTTTCAAACGCGTTTTTTTCGAAATACAAGGTGAGTTTACTTTGTAAACAGGACTTTGAGAAAAAAAGACAGAAAAAATGAATTTATCGGCAAAATCAATTAATTCTATTCAAAATAGTCTCCTTCTGCTTTAATACATTTTTTGCATGCTCCAAAAGCATGTCGAACGTGTGTTTTAGCTCGTTTCCCGGTATGGCCGCCAGTATGCCGGTGCAAGCCTTTTCAATGACCTCCACGTCTGCATAACGCTTTCCTTTCATCGGCAAATGCATTTTTCCGAAAAGGTAGAAGGATGGAGCAAATTCTTTGGACAATACGCTTGGAATCATAAAAACAAATCAGTATTGTCTTCACCTTTGACTTCTCCAGGCGCGATTTTTTGAGTTTCGGCTTGTCCGGCGCCTTCCAATCAGCACTCTGCACGTTTCGTCACCAATCACAATCTTGTCTTGATGTCTTTCGAATGTTGGATTCTGAGCAGCTCATTTTCGCACCGATGACAAGAACATGCTGACACTCAAAACGCAATAACTTCACTTCCAACAGATGAAATGGTATGAAATTTTTCCTGGAAGTCGATAAAGGATAGCAGATTCTAACGCACTAGTCGACATACAGATGGCGCCACTAGAGGGCGCTAGATGCAAAAAATCCTGTTTACTCTGGAATGCACCTTGTATCGTTTTCGAAATTTCCTGTTATTGTAACTCAACAGCTAATCATCCGATAGACTTAAAACTTTTTTACTGTAACTATTCCAGGCATAAAGTGATATTTCGATTGATTGATTGACCGTCAGATTTTTAAGCTATATTGCAAATTTTTTTTTAAGACGATGCCTTTTTTTAGGATTTCATCTTCTTTTTACCTCAATCATGGGTCACCTTGTAGTTCATGCAATCCTCTTTAGTCCCTGTTTTGTCTTTTTCATTGCAGATACCCTGGCGGCAGTTAGGATGACAGCAAAATGGAAATTTGTTTTTTCAGACCTACGCGGGGTACCGCATATGCCGTCGAGAAAGCAGGATTTCCGTTTGAAGAAGATATATAAAGCTACCTTTTTTTAGGGACAAATATAACTTTGGTGCAGTAAAAAATTTTTTTTGTATGCTATCACACTGGTTGAGCTCTGTGATCCGGCACAAATTTATAAACAAAATAATCTTTCAGTTCAACCGACGGGATGGTCGCTGCTTTTAATATTTGGTCAGTAGTGTTGGAAATTCGAGCAAATATGGATCGGTTTCGCACCAAGCGTGCTCTAGTAGATAGTGCGCATTCTCAGTGCCGTACCGAAGCAGAGTATCGAAGAAGACGAGAATAAGTCCATTCACCATCGCGCGAAATAATTTGTTATTGGCAATTGGCTTCCATCCGCTTTATCGAAGATTTTCCGGAAGGAGCTTGAACGGCGAACTAACAAAATCCAATTCGTGCAAACTATTGAAGAGTTACTATTTGGTATGCTTCATGGCCAGATGAAATCATTGGAAACCGACCATAATGTCATAGTCAATGGGAAACGCAGTAGAATCGCGCTTTATGACTTTTACATGCCTGAATCGGACGACAACAAACGGTGCTTTATTCCATACAAGTAACGAAACAATAAATTTATTGCGTCGCGGGCCTGTGGCGTGGTGAAACGTTGAACAACAACTACGTTATACCGATTTTCAAGAAGCATAGTTTCACTTCCGTCGTTATAGGCGAGTGTCAGCAGTGCATACTGCCATTCGGAGGGCCAAAGCGCGAGAGTTTAAAGCTGACCAATCAACATCGACCCGGGCCTCTACCTTGTAGCAGCAGGAACACGTACCCGCTTCAGTGCAGCAAACCGTCAACAAACTCAAGGAAAGTTTGATGTCAAAAAACCGCAATCACAATAGACAACCGAACTGTTTTCTACTCGACTTGCACTGCTGCTCTCTGAGAGCATTTATTTGCTGATGATAAGGATGAGGATTGACATGCCGCAGTGGAGATATAAAGGATGCCTTTCTCGTAACGTACGTCATGAGATTGATACCGAGAAAGACCCATGTTCAGACACAAAAGGAAAAAGGTCGATGTGATTGATTAAGAAGAGCTTGAGAAGCTGGACACAAGGGTGAAAACTTGTTTACTCTACGAAAAGATCCGACGACTTATAGAAGGTATCGAGAACCCGGCATACTTTTTTAGGACCCAAAGTTGTTATCTAGCGACTGATGCCTTGAGTATACTAAATGTATGAAGAGAACACTTCTCCTTCAATGGCAATGGCACCGGCAGGTTTTGAAGCCGAAACCACAACAGAAAAAAGTTTGAATATCAATCGGCTGATTAAAATACAAAAAGCAGGCCGGACGATTGGCACCTAAATATGGCCTGCCCACAATCCAAAGAAAAGAGCGATCCCACAGCCTGCGCTAATTACAGCAGGATTAACCTTTCCAATATTGCATTTAATATTTAATGGAGCGTATTGTGAGAAAGACTAAAACCCACCGCCATCAAAGTGGCTTTAGTACTGGTAATTTCAGCATTGACCAGATATTCACCATGGGCCAAATCTTGGAAAAGATCCGCGTCGATTTTAAACTAGCCATCGACGGCACGAAAAGGAGCCGCATCTACACCGCTATGTCGACTGCGTAGACTGAAATTAAACATCACCAAAAGCGCCGTCAGTATTAGGAAGAACCTCTCTGAGCCGTTCGATACCGAACGAGGATTCTTCACGAGTTTTCTTCAATTTGATACTGGAGAAAATAATACGAGCTACAGAGCTGAATAGAGAAGCTACAAGAAAATACAGCTGCTGGCGTATGCCGATGATATATACATTATTGGCCTCAACAACTGCGCCGTGAGTTCTGTATACTCCAGGCTTAACAAAGAAGCGTAGCGAATGGGTGTGGTGGTGAACGAGAACAAGGCAAAATAACTCCTGTCATAAAACAAACCTCACTACATTCGCGACTTGGCTGCTACGTCATTGTTGACAGTCATAACTTCGAGGTCGTACATAATTTCGTCCGTCTTGGAACCAATATTAACACCAACAACAATCAGTGACGGCCTTGAAATCCAATGCAAAAAAAGTTGCTTCTTTGAACTGAGTAGGTAATTGCTAATTGAAGTTCTCACTCGACAAACAAAGAAAAAACTCTACAAGCCGTTCATCATTTCCCACATCAGATGAGTCGGCGTTAGAAGTTTTCGGGAGAGAGATTTTACATAAGATTTATGGTTAGTTACGTAGAAGTGAATGGAACGATGGGCGGTACGAAATACCTGACGAACGGCGCCACAGAAGACAGGTGCTACGCTGGCTAGGTCTTGTGATCCGGATGAATAAAAATAAATACTCCAGCTTTTGAAAGTTTTCGATGAAATACCCGTCGATGGTGGAAGAGGAAGAAGAAAACCTACACTCTGTTGGTAGGCTCAGGTGGTGAAAAGAAGGAGTGATTGCCCCGCTTCTGCTAACTCGGCTATAACCGCGGAAGCGTTACGCATATAAAAAAGAAGAAGAAGAAGAAGTGGGGGGATATTCCTCACTTCTTGTTTCATAATTCTGTGCAGAATTCACGCGCAATTTCAATTTAAACTTTAATTTGCAACTCAGAATTTGTGTGAATAAATAAAAAAAAATGAAATTTAACTTTCACAAACTGCTTCAATGTTGAATAACAGTACTACAGGTAAGGTCAGTAAATAATATATGTACATATGTATGTAAAATCGATTATGTAAGTATTGAAATATTTCATTGCATTTCATTTTCAAATGCATTCTGGCGAAGTTTGCATGTACATATGTATGTACATATGTATTGTTAGTAAATGATGAATGCATATACATATGTAATACGTATAAAAGCAATAAAAGGGGAAAAAAAGCGAAAAATAATACGAGTTATAATTGAAATGAAAGCGCATAATACATACATACTAACAAATACAAAGGCAAAACCTTTTTTTTTGATATATACAAAAGCATACAGACGAGTCTATATAATATACAAATACATATATATATACATACAAGTTGATATGTAGTAGATATTGGTAGGTAAATGAGCTCATATTTCATTACATTTGCATAACATTTCATACCTGGCGATGGCTTATACTGCGATTGTAGAACGTATTTGGGACGCTCTTCGCCGGCGATGATTTCTTTCTGTGTGATGCGACGTTCGGGTGAACTGGTGTGTAATGGCAACAGTGCAACGGCCGACACGCCGAGTGGTGTGAGCTCCTCTTGGCATTGTGGTGAAGTGCATTCTACAAATGCGGATGATATACGAGTATATGTATGTATGTACATACAAGCGAAAAGCGAAGAAAAGAAGGGAGAGAAAAAAAAAATACAAAACAAAAACAAAAACAGAAAATGAATGCAGTCTGAATAGATGAAATCAAAAGTTGTGACACAAACGGTGGTTGGTTTATGCTACATATCATATAATATACGAGTACATACATACGTGTAGGTAAAAGCTAAAGCTAATGAATATTTATTTACATATTATTTACATATACGTACATATGTATGTATGTGTATCTGTAGGGTTTTGTAAAGATCTACTTAAAAATATTTTTAGCGTATTGAAATACTGAATATTTACATTTAAATAAAATGCAACAACAACAGTATGTTACAAATTTTTATATGCAACTGCAATTGATGAGTCCATGTACAGCTACATACATACATAGCTGACAGTCTAAATATTTGAAAAATGTTTTTTCTACAAGCATTGTGTGAGCACAAGTCCAGCTAACGCATTCGTATACAGGGTTTTCCAATAAGAGGTGTTATTTTGATATTCAAAGAAAACAAATTTCTTTTTTGCTTAATGATCGGACGTTTATTGCTATATAAAGCGGAAAATATACCATTAATAATGGAAAACAATATCAGTCAAATGAATGCCTTGGCTAGGCTTACAGGACCGTATACTTTTTTTGAAATTTTCCAACACAAAATCGCAAAATGGCTGCTGTATCGCCAAATAGCTACATGAGTTCCATCTATGATGTCTTGACTCGACGTTGGCTCGTTGGCGTGGACCTTAACTTTCACGTGCTCCAAAGGAAGAAGTCACATGGTGTTAAATCATAAGATCTCGGTGACCGATTGCGATCACCTCTACGAGAGCTAACACAATCCGGACACTTTTCCCAAAAAGATCGTTGGTTTCCTTGCTTGTGTGGCACGCAGTGTCGTTTTGTTGAAAGTAAACGTTGTATAGATCAATATCAACCGCTTGTGGCCACAAAAAATCACTAATCATCCGTCGGTAGCCCAATCCATTCACCGTAACTGTTGCTCCAGCCTCAAGCCCATAAACCCCAGCAACCAGTTATACATTGAGGATGGAGAGGCTATTCAACAATAAATCTTGGGTTTTCCGAGCCACAAATGCGATCGTCTTGCTTACTGGCGTAGCCATCGAAGTGGAAATGAGACTTATTAAATGAAAAAAAAATTCGAAAAATTTCGGGATCATTTTCATGCATTTCAAGGACCCAATCAGCAATGACATGACGTTCTTGATGATCGCCCGGCTTGAGTTCTTGTGTTAACTGAAACTTTATAAGTCCTAAGACCCAAGTATTTATGCAAAATACGGTATAATGACGTTTGTGCAATGCCCAATTCCAATGAATGACGGGGAATGGACAAACCTGGGTTTTATTTAACATTTTAGGCTACAACAGCAATATTCTCAACTCCATTTTTTCCACCAATTTCTGTATTTTGGTCCAACAAGGTGCTTCACGATCATCGTATTAGCATACATACACACACGCACACACACGAGCTGGTAGAAAAGAATCAAGTTCCCAAATCTGTCACTGCTATTCCAGAAATAACTGGAGAATAAATGTCTGAAGCGCAAGGTGTGGACGGCGTAGCAGACCTCACTTTGAAAAAAAGAACACTTCAACCCAAATGCATTTGCAACGACTCTTGGTACCTGCATACTAGGATGGGGGTTTTCCCAGCATTTGGAAGATACAAAAACTGGCGCTGATTCCAATATCTTCTACAGCATCTCATCTATCCTAACAAAAATCACCAGGAGGCACACCTCAATAAGAACCTATCACCTCTTCAACTTGAGTTTCGCAAAGGATGTGGAACGATGGTGGCAAACAATGTTGTCAAGTTCATTGCTGAAAAAGCTACCTCCGCCAAACGTTGGTAACATAGCGACAAACAATACTGTTTAGTTGTTGAGCAATCGGCGCAGTTTGGCTCCCGATATCTCGATCAGGTCTCCAAATGCTACCGCCCCTAGTTTTGCCTTAAAGTTTTAGGTGATTCTTCCGATCTGCAATTTCTGCAGAAATATTTAGGTAGCAGGCGTCTGGCCCAATCTCTCTGAGTGCCTGTCCATAATATAAGATATGTCCTGTAAGAATACCCATAACTGCAGACATCTCTTTCCTTTTCAGCTCGATAAGGCCGCGAGACCTTCTACTATTCCATTCTTTCAAAATTGTCCTGGCGACATTACATTAGTTGAGACATAAGATAGCATCTTTAATGAATAACTCTCCTATATTGAGCAAGTGGAGAGTGGAGTGCAAGCTCGTCCGCCATATCATTACCCGGTATGTCACAGTCACCAGGGTCCCACGCCAGGTTCAGATAGAACTACAGCGCACCATCGGACACACACTAATATTGATCAGGAACCTACAAAGATGCTTCAAAAAATGACGACGATAGCCGATATCGACTCAGACTATTGAGTTATTAGCTCAAATGGCGTTCTGACGAAATACTGAAAGGTTGTAATAGGGGTTACCGTAGGGATGAAAATGGTTTTAGTTGATTACAGTCACACAATGACGAGGTAAAGGCTTTCCATGCTTTCCATTCGCGCCACACACAAATACAACTTTTAACTTGGCATAATGGCCGCATGTTTTGAGGGCATTGGAGGAAAGAAAGACACCGGGGGTATCGGATGAGGATAACTGTTAGCTATCAGTCTGATCGAGTGCAATTGAATAATTCCGTGCCCAGGCCAAAAATTACGTAGTGACGGGTGGAGTACTACATTGATATGGAGTGTGAAGCGTCTACCGCTACCAAACGAAGTCCAAATAGTTGGCTATGTGGGCAACATGACCGATTGTTACGAAGGATCTTCCCTAAATTTTTCCAAAGAAAAAACAGAAGCTGTGACTGTGGCCCTGTCAAGAATCATAACCAACATAAGTGGACCAAGCCATAGTACGCGGCTTCTAAATGGGAGACAGCTCTGCAGCAGAAAAAAAATTCCAAAAAGGCAAATGGAATTGCCTGCGCGTTTGGAACGGTAACCGGTCGGTATCATATCTGGCATTATGCCGCCAGATATAATAGCTTCGAAGCTCGGTAGAGTTCATCAAAAAGCAAAAGCTAGGAATAGGCGTCTAATGGCCAACTAGTTGCAGAGAAAGATGCGACCCGACAGACTTATTAAGAATATCCAGTTTAGATTCAAAGGCAATACGGAGAGGCAGACTTCTATCTGACACAGTTTTTGTCGGGCCATGGCTGTTTCAGAGTGTGCCTGCACAGGTTCGGCCACACTGGCGGGCCTGAAATTTCCTTCTGCAGCAGTCCGAAGAAGGAAATTAGGTGCATATCTTTTTCTTCTGCTCGAGGTATGTAGTGGAGAGATCTACCATAGAGCCCGACAACCTTATGACTCCCATGCAGCATTTGAGGTTAGTGTGGACTAAAATCAGGGAATAACCCTAGAATAAATGAGGGACAACAGAAAAGTGAAAAACCAGATGAATAACTCTATAGAGAGTGTGTGAAGAGGCCGAGCTTGACCGTGAGAAGCGGTGCTTAGCGGCGAGTCAAGGGTTTCTAGTGAGGTGTGCCTTTAGTGGAAAAAACGAATTGTGCATTCTATCCGCAAAATTGACAAAGATTCCACTCACCGAAAAAAACACACATACACATGCACATACACATATACACAGCGCATCACGCTTCCTCATTTGCTTGTTTTTTCTTATGCATTTCATATGCACACGTGCGCCGGCATAAATGAAAATAAACGCTTGAATGAACGAGTGATTGAGCGAACACGCGTTGCTATGCTCTTTCCCCTTCCCCTCTCTAAAAAAAATAAATAAATCGAAAATCCAAAAAAAAAAACAAAAAAAGAAAAATCAAAAAAATGAATTACTAAAAAAGCACACAAGCAACAACAACAGGCAGCGTTTACACAAGCGGATCTCTGCTTGAAGGATTTTTCGCTCATGCTGTCAAACAGTTAAGGCGTGGTCGGCGGTAGGGTTCATTCGTCATTAAGGCAATTTGGGCAAATAATTCTTCCTCTGCTTTTTTTTGTTTTTTTTTTTATTTATTTTTTATTTGATTTGTTTTTATTAGCTCGAGCCGTGGTGACTTTATGGCTGACTCTTGTCCAAAGCAGCAGTAACAGTTCAATTTTACGCTTCGAAGAAGGCCACTGACTTGTAATCAGCGGTAATTTCATTTTACTATGCACTTACATACATATGTATTTATCTGTCACAAAAGGTATGCACTTTTTGTATATGTAAATGCAGTGCAGAGTGCGTTTCACAAAGAAAATATCATTGGAAATTGGTTAAAGAACTACCCTCGGCGGTACTATGTTCACCGAGTATATGTATTAGGTTTGCGCAGCTAACGGTTATATTTAGTAGTTTAAAATGATATGGGTGCCATACTAATATCTAAAAAATTATAGAAAATTATTTAAAATTTAAAGTTTTGGGTAAATTATCTCATTGGGGTCGCCGCTTGGCAGGGAATGTTCACCCCACCGAGTGGATTTCTGGCATGAAATAAAGCTCCTCATAATAAAAAAAAAACCATCAGACGTTCGGAGGCGGCTTAGTATAAACTGTAGGTCCAGCCATTTGTTGGAAAAACATCAAGTCTCATACCGCAAATTAGAATGGGGAAGATTACCTCAGCCTAAGGTCTTGAAGGCCAAAAAAAAGCTTATTTTTTTAATTGGTGTACAACTTTGCCTCCGCCGTTTTCCGATAGGTGGCTGTACCGGCTGAGGCCGGTTGAAATACATAGATGATAATGCCTTTAAAGTGAGTGTGGGCAGTGCTTAACGAATTGTCATCGCCGTTTCAGTGACAGTTGTTTTTGTTTTCGTATTATTCACGCTCGAAAATGTCCGTTTATGTGCCTAATTCTCGCAATTTGCGGGAAGTTTTACTTTTCTGTTACAATTCGAAAAAAATGCAGCTGAAGCGCATCGAATGCTCTCAGAAACTTACGGTGATGCTGCTCTGCGTGAAAGAACGTGTCGGGAGTGGTTTCGACGTTTTAAAAATGGTGATTTCGATGTCGATGACAAACATGGTGGTGGAAGAGAAAAAACCTTCATAGACTTACTACGAGCTCTTAAAACCGGGTGAAACCATCACAGAAGATCGCTACCGAACGCAACTGATGCGCCTTAGTCGCGCGCTAAAAGAAAAGCGGCCACAATATCAAGAACGACATGACAAAGTCATCCTCCAAAAGTTCCTGGAAACGCTAAAATGGGAAGTCTTGCTCCACCCTCCATATTCCCCAGATGTCCCCCCTTCTGACTTCCACCTATTCCGTTGAATGGCTTACGGCCTGGCAGATCAACAATGTATTTTTTTGAAGTTTCAAGATTTATTATGCATACAGTTACTGCTTAAAGAGTAGAAGATTGAATAACTACGGAAAATTAGATTTGTTCAACCTGAAGTAGTCAAATAAAGGAGAGACTTCACCCACATTTTTTTTTTCTCGGAAAGGATGTCGTGTGAACAGAGAACTGACAAATTCTCCATTTCAAAAATAAATCGAAATCGATTAGCAAAAATTTTGGAAATGTGAGATCCTGTGTCAGCGATTACAATGGAGAAATTAATGCACTTCCCTCTTGTGATATGTTTGTATGAACACAATATACATACAACTATTCAAAAAAAAATATACATACATAGGTATTAAATGAATACCCTAAAATTAACGGCATTCCCAAAAATGAGCGTCTTTTATTGGTTTTAAGTGCCAAAATTTGTTCTTAAAAAACTTAAAAAAAATCAAATTTTAAAAGTTTCTATTTTAAATTTTGTCTCAAGAAATAACAGTTAAGTTTCTAAAATTTCCAGAAATATTTCCTCGCTTATCTACTGCTACACACCCTAATACTGCGAAGGCCTTGCGCTGACTGCTATGCGCAAAAACATAAATCAATCAATTAGCAAATGTCGATTTGTTGTTTATTAAAAGCAAAATGAAACAATGACGTTGCGCAAATCTATTCATGTCAGTCGACCAAAATTCATTGCCACCAAATTTGTGTGGGTTTCGTTTGCGACCAGAGTTTTTTCCCAACTGCTGACTATAACAGATGCGCCAGCATATTCAGGGCGGAAAAAACGAATGCTTAGAATGGAAGAAATACAATGAAATACACTACGATAAACATACATATATACATGTGGCTGCATATGTACTCAAATTCATTAGAGACCCGGGTTTTTGTAAAATCTCCAGGCTGTGCACCCAAGAAGAAAAAAACTACATTGCGAGGGTATGAACAAAAGTTCGGTAAGTTGACTAGAAAAAAAAAAGCAAAAAAAATCTTTTTGTATTTATTCGTAATCTTTGTCCTTCGTATCTTCTCTACATAAACTGATTTCAGTGCATTTCTTAAGCCAAATCTTGCTTTTTAAGCTTATCATGTTCAGCATTAACCGCATTAATTATCTCCTCGTTGCTCAGATTTTACGGATGGGCTTGCTTCTATTGGGCTCCATATCATGGACTGCTGGTTGGGGTCTGGATCGTACTTATAGAACCAAGATTAATCACCAGTAACGACTTTACTAAAGTTGCTAGACTGACCATTTTCTAATTTGTTTATGAAAAATTGAGCGATTGAACTCGAGCCTCTTTTCGGGCCTCTTTTAAAATTCGTGGCACCCATCGAGCAAATTTCTTCGTGTATCCCAGATGATTACATACAATTTGCATTACAGCCATGGCATTCAAGCCCAATTCATTAGGAAACATTTCTTGTATCAAACGTGAGTATTCGTCAATTTTGGACTTCAAAAGATCTGCAGTGACGTTATAGCCGTTCGTTCTATGGAAGACTAATAAAGTAATTGCAAAGGATTTGGTACATTTAAATTTAACAACAACAAATAGAAAGTCACCAACTGACCAAACTTTTGTTAATCCCTTCGTTATTTGTTTGTATATCGATGACGATGGAACAGATGATTCATTGGCCGATACAGAAGCAGTTCGGCTTGGTCCTTAGCATTATTGCTACAGACCGGGAAAGTTTACAATTGACTAGATATTGACCATGGAATATGCCCGTTAAAAGCAGATCGGCAAACACCAACTCTACTTCCATGTTAAAGCAGCCTTTGATGGCACGATACTGCCTCTGCGCTGAATTTGGTATCCTCGTCAAGCTTATACGGCTGTATAAACTGATGCTTAGCAACATTAAAAACTCCAGTAGGATCGGGAGAGACTTCTCTGAGCCGTTCGATACCGAACGAGGTTTCAGACAAGGTGACTCCTTATCGTGTGATTTCTTTAATTTGATAGAGAAAATAATACGAGCCGCACAGCTGAATAGGGAAGGTGCAATTTCTTTAAGAATTTACAGCTGCTGGCGTACGCCGCGCGGTGAGTTCTGCTTTCTCCAAACTGGATAAGGAAGTGAAGTGTATGGATCAGGTAGTGAGCGAGGACAAGACGAAATATCTCTTGTCATCAAACAAACAGTCATCGCATCCGCGACCCGACTCCAACAGCACTGTTGACAGTCATAAATATGTAGTTGTACATAATACCTCTTTCTACTTCGAATAGGCAATTGAAAAGTAAAGTTCTCTCCCGACGAACAAGGACCAAACTCGACAAGTCGCTCATCATACCCGTTCTTCTGCATGGCGCAGAAGCATGGACGATGACAATATCTGACGTGTCGGCTCTGGGCGTACTCGAGGAAAAAGTTATGGTCCTAGACGTATCGGGTAAAGTAATACTGCAGACGATGGAACGATGAGACGAAATAGTTGTGCGGTGATTCAATATTCAGCTTCTAATCTGGCTATGTGGAAAAGAACTTGTCAACACTTGGTATTACCAATTAGCGTCAAACAGCGGGGGCTGCTGTTAACTCCTTCAATAAAGAAAAAATAGGTCTCTAAGTCATAAAAGTGGGTAATGAAAGTTAATGTCAAAAGAGGGGAACGACAGTGCAGAAAAAATTAAAAATTTAATGCAACAATTTGCAGCCATACAAAAGACGCTTAATTGTCTAGATCTAATATTAAAGCATGCGGCGAGTCCCTAAGCGTGATGGGTAAGCATAGTAAGCGGGTCAAGACACAATGCATTGTGACTATTGTAATAGCATGACAGTACCCCCACATTTATTTTTCTCAAAAGAAAGTTATGAGTCATCTTACAGGATATCTTATAGAAGGCTAGAACGTAGAGTTGCTGGGGGCATACCCAAGGCAGCTGCAGAAGTTGTAGCAAGCTTCGGAAATCTGGCACCTCAAGGCACTACCTTTGTGAATGTCTCACAGGAGGGATAAGTTAGTATGTTTTGTTAGCTCCACACATTGGTTTGACTAGCAGCTGGAAGCTAATAGGATCTGCAGTGGTATCACCAAGGTTTATTCATTTCATGTTTACCAACTTCATCGCATTTCCCAATTTCGCTAAATGAAAATATCACCGAATACTACCAACAAATTGATAACAAAAATATTTTCCTTTCGTCTAGCAGAGTCCGTAGATAGCTAACGGTTATAATATGAGCATAATTAGAATATCAACGTAATATATTTAAATTATTCGTATATTAAAACCCGTCCCCAGCGTCCATTTGAACTACGCTCAGGCGACAAAAATATAAGTTAAAAAAATTGAAAATAAATTGTTCCCCCGGCAGCGGAACGCCAGCAAAATGGGCAGAGCGCTGCTATTGTCCCAAACCTATGCACTCGCATGTACGTGAAAAAATAACTCGAAACCACATAATTTGCGATTAATTGGAATACCGAGCAACTTTGTACATTCACCTCTGCCAGTAAGCGTCAGCGGAGGAAGTGCACAAACTCGTGTGCCCAGTTGGATGCCGTTATGAGGGGAAACAACAGACGGCGCTCAGTCAGCCAGTGCACAGACTAATCACAGTCGGCAGTTCTAAACGACCCTGCTGACAAAGTCGTCGAGTGCCGTTGTGCAGTGTATCTCAGTGAGCCAGTGGCGCATCATAATTTGCCAACAAAATCCGGCGGCTGAACGTAGCCCAGACTAATTGCATTGTCACCGCAGGTTTCTAACTCAACCACATGCTTCCATTAAGAGGCCCCCGCATTCTCACCCCTCGCAAACACGGACAGACCATAAGTGCCACACACACACACACACACATACACATACTGGGCACTCAGCCAGAGCTGGTGTCAGTGGAGCTCGTGTGCACAACATCCGGTGATTTTCGACGCCACACAACCCACACACACTCTCTCAACCCCATACGTCACACGTTTCGGTTTACAGGTGTTTGTACACCAACAACCACAACAACAACAACATGGTATAAATAAAATCAAAATGCGATAAGCAAGAATTGTTGGGTAAAAGAGTAAAGTGTAAAGTGATTAGTTACTTGGCTTGGTGTAGTAAATATTTACCTGAATCCTGCAGCTGTTTGGCCGCACACTCGGCGCATTCGGCGCACTCGGTGCAAACGCCAAGCGAATCGTCATCGGGTGAGTGTTGCTGTTGTTGTGGTTGTTGCTGTTGTTGTTGCTGCTGATGGTGTTGCATTTGCTGGTGATGTTGTTGTGCTTGCTGCGCTACCTGCTGCTGCTGCTGTTGTTGCTGTTGTTGATGCTGATGATGTTGACTGAGCGCAGCACTACCCACCGGTGGTGGCGGCGGCGAAATTTGATTATTATTTCGTGCAGCCAGCATGGCGGCACGTTGTTGCTGCAATCTTTGTATAACCTGCAACTGTTGAATGTGTTGGGCACCGAAGATGTGACCGCTTAACGCGCCGCCGAGTGAGTTCTTCAAGCCATTGTCCTTGTAGCCGTCGGGAGGACTTAGTGCGGCCTCGTCAACGAACTCAATGGGTGGTGCATATTTGGGACTCTAATAGAAAAAGACAGAGAGAAGTAAGTTAGTGAAGTTTTTTAGGATAATTTCGATGGAGTTGCAGATAATTTTGTAGGTAAAATGAGAAGTTAAGCGAGAAGGATCACAAATAATTTGAATGTCAGGCGCACAGTTAAAAATAAAAAATTTACAAGAATTCCAGAGTAGCTGCAGGCACTCTGACTAAACCATTTTTCCATAAAACATTTTTACTAGTGCAGATAGCCGTAAATCGATTTTGAATAGTTGTTAAGCACTTTGCATTGCTTTATTTTGTACTAATGGCTGCTGGCGATTTCGTCCGCCTGGAAACTTAAGACGGTTTAAACTTAGGTGTTTACGTTATTTTATTTTATTATAAGCATTAAAGCCTCCTCGCGAGTGGCCGCAATAGCCGAGTGGTTAGCATTGCATATTGCCATTCGGAGGGCCATGATTCGGTTACCGGTCCGGCCAACATCCAAATTTGATTTTCCAAAGAGCGATGGCCCCTCGGCATGGCATGAATAAAAAAACAGCTCCTCATTTTATTTTATTTTATTTTATTTTTTATTTTATTTTATTTTATTTTATTTTATTTTATTTTATTTTATTTTATTTTATTTTTTTTTATTTTATTTTATTTTGTTTTATTTTATTTTATTTTTTTTTATTTTATTTTATTTTTATTTTGTTTTATTATATTTTATTTTATTTTATTCTATGTATATCATTTTTTTATATGAACGGCCAGTCTAATTAGGGACGTGAAACTTTGGTCACATAGAAAATTAGACGACGAGAACTATTAAATCACCCGTATGTTGTCTTGCCACGGTTACTTCCGGAAATACTTACACAAAATTGGCAAAACAGATGAGCCGTCCTGCATATACAACGACGCTACCGAAGACAGTACTGAGCACACATTTCTCAAGTGCACAAGATGACAAACGGAACGGGAGACACTGTTAAATCTGGTAGGACCTTTGAATGCGGACAACACCGTTCCTGTAATGCTTCAGAGTGAGGCAAACTGGAAAAATATAGCATACTACGTAGAGGATGTACTAAGCAAGAAAAAGCGGGACCTGAACGCAGGCGCTCAGATGTAAATCTCAAGTCGAGAAATACGCCCCCTTGAAGTAATGCGAAAGCTGTTCCAGAGAAGAGTTTTGTAGTGACCTGCAAGTGGCAAATTTTTATTTTATTTTATTTTATTTTATTTTGTTTTATTTTATTTTATTTTATTTTATTTTATTTTATTTTATTTTATTTTATTTTATTTTATTTTATCTTATGTTATTTCTATTTTATTTTATTGGATTTAATTAAATTAATTTAATTTTTTTAATTACATTTTATTCCATTTCCTTTAATTTATTTCATTTGAGTTTAATTTATTTTATTTTAATTTTTTTATTTCTTTTTGATTTATTTTATTTAATTTTAGTTTCATTATTCAATTCATTTATTTTTATTTAATTTAGTTTTTTTTTAATCATTTAATTTTGTTTTATTTTAATATTTTTATTTTATATTAATATATATAAATATATATAGATTAGATGCGAGTTTCATTTTCCTTTCCCCCAGTTTGTGTTACGTTGAAAAAGTCTGCATGTCTGATATTTCAAGTTGTAGCTACATTTTCTCCATTTCTACTCATTTATGCGGTATTTTCTATATGGATATATATGTGCATATGTATGTCTAATTCTATAGTGTTGGTTGTTTGGCTGCTGCAACCGGAAAATTAGGATTTCCTGTCAGGCAATTATAGTTGGATGAATTTTTGATGTTCTTCACTGTTAGTTGGTGGCAGCCGTATGTCCGTCCGTCCGTCCGCGTGTCTCTTCTTCTACTGCATATTTAACTACTAAACGACGTTGATGATAGTAACAATGGCAGCTGAAACAACGGCCAACAACAGCAAACTCTAACTGCAATAGCAACAACGGCTAAGCGCCGTCATTTGATGTAACTCAAAACGCATTGAAGTCATTGTACGACAATTCGCACACAGCAAGCAATCGGTTGTGTGGGTGTCAACCAACAAATTCTGCTTTGTATGTAACAAGTGAGATATTATATGTATGTAAGCAGCATGAGCGATGTGCAAAACTATTGTACCAGACAAACACACATACACACACATATATACAAGAATAGTGAGAGAGAATATTTGTACAAGTTTTACATGACTTGTACAAAATATTTGCCTCAATGTCTGAATGTACATTTGTCTGTATGTATGTACGAACAATGGTTGAAAAGTGTTGGCTAAAAGTTTCTACTATCACTTTTTCTTCTATTTCTATTCCATGTGATGAATACGTGAAAGAGGATGGCAATGTGTATATGTATGTAGATATGTATATATGTACATATACGTATATATCTATGAACTTATGGCTTTAATAGCTCCGTCTACATTAAATTGTAGTCAACTTTGTATATATAGTATATGTATGCTTGTATATATGTATGTGGTCCTGCTTTGCATCCCTTTCATCATTAAATATTTAATTTTATTTGCATTAACTTGACTTGAGCGATTGTTATGCTTTTATAAGTCTATTTAAGTATGCATTATATACTTGAGTGCGTATATATATATTTATGTATGTATGTATGTGTGCATAATACTGTGTATTTGCTCAGCATACACCGACATACATACACCAAAGAAGCTTTCAATTATATAATGTTGTCAATAAAGTAGAAAGTAGAACATACATTCATACATACAAACACACAGATGCTATTTGAACGAGAGTGAATGTAAATACTTAGATTTAGTGAATAGACTTAACATTTTAGTGACCTCAGCACCCTATGAGTAATTTGTGGTCGTCTGAGGAGACGAAGTCAAAATAACATATTTTTTTAGTGACATCTAAATGAAAATGATGGCGACTTTTAGCGAAATTTTCGCTGACTTGCAAGTGTTTGGGCCGACTAAAGTGTTTTTCTTCTCTAAAAGATCTCTTATCGAACCTACTCGTAACTCCAAATGACTCCAGGGTCAACACTTTCTCAACTCATTGTAGCTTGTGTCTTGTGCCTTTTCCATCAAGCAGATCGCAAATGTCCGGCCGCTTAATTAGGAAGGTGTCGCTATACAGCTGGTGGATGAACATTCCGTCGCAGCGAAGTTCTGCAACATAGCGTTGATTTGCGCCCACGATTCTTTAGAATAGAGAGACGAGTTGATCAAAAATGACTTTTGTACCGACTTCAACTCCACAAACGGTTGGCACAACAATCGAAAAATTCAATACATTCATTAGAATACATTCTCAAATGGGTTGAAGCTTATGGCTTTCGCCTGCATCCAGAATACGACTGTCTGTAGACCAGATTCCAGCACAAGAAAGTGCACCAAGCTACTTATCTGTCAGATAGAAAAACTCGTAACCAAATCGATCTTTTTGTGGCAGACAGGAGACAATGTTGAAGACATACGTACCCTCCAGAGACCTAACGTCAATTCGGACCAAAGAACGTCCGCAAGTGACGTCAAAAAACTGTAATCACAACAGACATCCAAAAGTTTCTACTCAACTTGAACTCCTGCTCTCTGAGAGCACTCGGTATAAGAAAACTCTGGAACGGCAGTCCAAATTTCTTGAGTACATTTTCGTTTTATTTATTTCGTTTTATTTTGTTTTATTTCATTTTATATAATTTAATTTAATTTTATTTTATTTTATTTTATTTTATTTTATTTTATTTTATTTTATTTTATTTTATTTTATTTTATTTTATTTTATTTTATTTTATTTTATTTTGTTTTGTTTTATTTTATTTTATTTTATTTTATTTTATTTTATTTTATTTTATTTTATTTTGTTTTGTTTTATTTTATTTTATTTTATTTTATTTTATATTATTTTATTTTTTTGTTATTCTATTTTGTTTTATTTTATTCTGTTTTATTTTATTCTATTTTATTTTACTTATTTTTTTTTAATTGCATTTAATTTTTTATTCTATTTTTTTATTTTAAAATAAATTTTAAACAAATACTTTTGAATATTCAAAAATATTTTCCTGCAATTTTCATTGCTGCTTTTCTAAATAACTGCTGAATATGCATATGTAGGCTAATTACTGTTATCTGATGTTTTAATATACTCAAACGGCTATGCAAATGCAAATTATCCTTTTCCTCTCCTCCTCTCTTTCTCACACGCACCTGGCACTCTATCGACTAGCCAGGGGACGAAACAAAAAAAGGAAAATTAATAAGTAACCACATAATGTGACACTAATCGTTGCGATGGATGGATATATCAAAAGTCAATAGATGCGATGCAAGCCAAAATGTGATAAAGCAGATTCGCTCATTTATCGAACACACATTAAATGAGCAAACCAGAGGTAAAGAGTCCGAGAAATCATGCCGGCATGTGTTCCTCTTAAATGATTATAACATAAGTACATATACATTTGTATTTGTATTATTATATGTACATATATGTATATACCATTGTACCTTGTGTTTGTACATAAATATGCAAATATGAGAGGAAAATAATTTTCATTTTCCAAAAATATCCTTTATGAGTTTGCACAATTGCCTTGTGCATAAATCGGAAGCTCGTTAGCCTTGGCATATTGCAAATAAAATTTATGCAGATACCAACACTTAGATAAATATAAGAGTATATTCATGTATAAGCACACACGCTACGAGGGTTGCCCTTCATATTTCGGGATTAGTGAATAAAAACGAAAATTAATCATACAAAATCATTTAATTGTTTTTCAAAATATTCTCTATCAGTTTTGAATGTGTTTGCCAGTCTGATTGAGTTATCTCCAAAGTATACATTCTGAATGCGTCAGCCGCCTCTTTAGATGAGGAAAAACGTTGACCTCTCAGTCGTTCGGTGTTAAGCTAGTACTATACCTTAGATGACTCATCAAATCGATGTTTCGAGTGCGTAAAACTGCAGTTGCTTCAGTCGATCTGTGATTGCTCGCCTTTGCGTGGTGAAAAGTGATCCATT